GATAAGTAGGTTTCCCCTTGGACTTTCCGTAGTAAACATATGTTGGATAGACTCGGTTAATCGGTAGATGCGATATCTTTGAACCATCGAGCTTTGGTGTATACAAAGACAACCACATGTCACACAATTAACCCTTTACCATTTATGGTTCTTACGATTGTGTTCGTTTCAACCATGAACACCTCCTGATTTCATGAGTGTATAGAGAGATGGGCTTTTGACAATCATGCTCTTTGAAGCGGCTTCCACTTCACACTTACATAGGTGATTTCTAACCGTGTTATAGCGTAGATACACTATTTGGTCAAATCTTCCAAACTTAGCAAGTCATTAAAAACATTAAGCTTTATTAACTCATTAACAAGTCTTAATATTGTATCCTTGTTCCCGAGCATTGTCTTCATCATGAGAATGGATTAAGTTGGTTGACAATGTCGAACCGTCAGTTACAACTTTGTTTTTCTCGTTGAATCTAGCTCTTGGGATCTCCAATCTTCTAGATAGAGTTACCACTATGATGACTTGTCCTAAGCCGTAAATCCATTCCCTTAGATGATCTTTCAACTTTCTCTCTAGTTAGGCCTTTTTGTAAGTGGATCCGACACACAGTGGCGGAGGGAGGATTTTCATCAAGGGGGTTCTAAAAAAAAATTAATCACATAAATAATATAGCGCATACATATATCTAAAAACTTAAATAGATCATTACAATTGTACTCTACGAGGTTTCATATCTTGAAATGTCTTAATAATAGCATTAGGAATACTATCAAATACATCTCTTTCTACAAAAGGCACCAAACAACCACTAAAAAAATCATCACTCATTTGACTTCGCAAGTCATTCTTGATAAACTTCATTGCCGAGAAAGCTCTTTCAACGGATGCAGTGGCAACTGGTAGAAGTAGAGCAAGTTTCACTAAGGGGAACACCAAAGGATAATTTGAATGTTTTTTTGTTTGGACTAATCTTTTGGAAAGATCACAAAGTCCATTTAGATCAGAAAACCTTTCGTCAACATCACGAACATCAACAATGTAACTTGCAAGTTGATTCTCAAGAGT